AAAAAGAAAATGATGCCTGCATTTTTCACTTCTATTTAACAGCGGAAGAGAAAATTCTAGCTGAGACAATCAGGTAAGAAAGGAAAACTCTCAGAAATAAAAGGCATCCAGATTGGAAAGGAAGAAGTAAAACTATCTCCATCTACAGCTGACATCATCTCTTATATAGAAAGTTCTAAGGAACCCACAGAAAAGCTAATAAAGGGCTGGCTCTCTGGTGCGGTAGTATATGCTGCTCAGGAGAAGCTGGACCCTGATGGTAACTATGGTTTGAAACCTGGCTCAGACAGCCTGGAACATGCTGGCCACATGAGTGAGTGTCCAAGATACATGGTGCTGGAGGACTGGAGGAAGGGGATGACGACACGACTGAACCATGTAGAATGTGCTCATCTCTCTCACATGTACGCCCATGTGCTCTATCACAAATAAAGAGAAAAACCAAAAAACTACTCAACAAGTTCACCCAAAAAGCTCAGTTGTATCTCCTCTATAGGTTGACAAGGAGAAAATAAGAAATAAAATTAAGGAAACAATTTTATTTGTATCAAAAAGAATATAATGCCTAGTCTTTTAACCAATACATTTGAGTAAAGAAGAGTGAAACTGTTGCCTTAGAAAACTATAGAACACTACTGAAAGACATTAGGGAAGAACTAAATAAATGGATAGACGTTGCATGTTCCTAGCTTGGAACATTTAATGTTGTTAAGATGGCATAGCTTCCAAATTGATCTACCAATTCAATGCCATGCCTATCAAAATGTCATTTAACTTCTTTGCAGAAATTAAGAAACTGATGCTAAAATTCACATGGAAATTTAAGGGACCCAGAATAGGCAAAACAATCTTAAAAAAAAAAAAGTTAAAAGGCTTATACTTTCCTCATTTTAAAACTTATTATAAGCTACAAGACAGTAATCAAGACAGTGCGAAACTTGCACCAGGATAGACATTTGGATCACCGGACTTGAACTAAGAATCCAGATATAAACCCTCACAGTTATGATCAATTGATTTTCTACAAAGAAACCAAGGCAATATTATTTAACAAACAGTGATGGGACAATTGGATAGCCACACACAAATGAATGAAGCGGGACCCGTAATGTACACCACAAAAATAAGTTACTCACAATGGATCAAAGAACTAAATGCAAGAACTGAAACTATAAAACTCTTAGAAGAAAACATAGGTGTAAATCTTGACCTTGGATTAGGCAGATTCTCAGATATGATAACAAAGAACAAGCAATAAAAACAATAGATAAATTAGACTTTGAAATAATCTTTTGTGCTTCAAAGACAACATTAAGGAAGTACATACAGGCCCAGCTGTGGTAGCACATGCTGGATGCTGCTGCTTGGCAGGCCGAGGCCACATGGGAGGCCCACGTTCAATTCCCAGCTCATCTTAAAAATACCAACCTCAGTGGCATTTGTCTGTAGTCTTAGTTACTACAGAGGCTGAGGTAGGAGGAGCACAATAAATGAGGACTTGTCTGAAAAAGCCACTGCATGGGGCTGGCAGGTGGCATTGTGGTTAAGGGTGCTGGACTCCCACATGGACAACTGTGGTTTGAGTCCCGGACCTGGCAGCTTGCTTTCAAACTCCCCCCACCCCCTCGCTCTCACTCTCTCTGTCCCTCTCTGGTCAAATTAACATAAATAAATAAAATTAAATAAAATAATTCTTTTTTTTTTTTTGGAGAGATTTTCACTGTAGGGCGCGTGCGCTCACCAAACAGACAGAGAGAGACATAGAGACAGAAAGCGAGAAATCACCCACCAGGGGGGATGGTCACGCCGCAATCCCTTCTCCTCCATTCTCCTCTAGGGATCTTGGGCACGCACGCACACACGCTCGGTGTGAGTTTTAAGCCACCGGGTCCGGGACACGAACCGCGGTCGACTACGTGGGAGTCCAGCGACATAGCCATTACTCTAACTGCTGGTTCCCTAAATAAAATAATTCTTGAAAAAAAAGTCACCGTACACACACACACACACACTCACACACACACATACACGCTCCTATGTGAAAGTGACAGCAAACCACAGAATGGAAGAAAATTTTGCAGATCTTAATATCTGATAAGAGACTTATATCTAGAACATATAAAGAACACTACAATTTGATAATAAAAAGACAACCCAACCAAAAACAGGCAAAGACTCTGAGGAGTTATTTCTGCAAAGAAGATAAACAAATGGCCAGTCAGCACATGAAATGATGCTCAGCATTACTGGCTTACAGAGAAATGCAAATCAAAACCACAAACACATACCGTTTCACACCCAATAGGATGGAATAATAAAAAAGACAGATGATTAGGATGTAGAGAAATTGGAACCCTCATACATGGCTAATGGGAACATAAAGTGGTGTATCCACATTTGATGGGGCCAGCAGATGGGCATAACGGCTCTGTCACTGGACTTCCATGTAGTCGACCGCGGTTCAAGTCCCGGACCCAGTGGCTTAAACTTATGCTGGGTGCGTGTGCGTGTGTGCCCAAGATCCTGAGAGGAGAGTGGAGAAGAAGGGATTGCGGTGTGGCCATCCCCCCTGAGGGGTGATTTCTCGCTTTCTTTCTCTCTTTCTCTCTCTGTCTTTCTGGTGAGCGTATGTGCTCTATAGCAAAAAACTCTTCCAAAAAAAAAGTGGTATATCCACATTAGAAAATAGTGTGGCAGTTTCTCAAAAACTTAGATATAGAATTACCATATGACTCAGCAACTTACTTTTAGGAAGATAGATGAGAAATAGATACATGTGTCCACACAAAAACTTGTATGTGCATGTACATAGCCTTATAATAGCCAAAAAGTAGAAACCACCCAAATGTCCATTATCTAATGAATGAATACGTGGAAATGTGGTCTACACATACAAGGGAATACTATCTGTCAAAAATGAACTGATACCTGCTGCAACATGGGTGAACCTTGAGAGCATGATACTAAGTGAAAGAAGAGATACCAAAGGTCAATGGCTCCATTCATCAGTAAAATTCCCAATGTGGAGTTGCACAGATGGAATATCCAGGACAAGCGAATCCACAGAGCTAGGAGGATGGGTGGTTGCCGAGGTCTGGAGAGGGCGGGGAGCTTGGGGGTGCTGGCTAAGGAGGTGGCAGTATTTTTTCGGGGGTAATGAAAATGTTCTAAAACTGACAGTGCTGATGGAGGCTCAACTCTGTGACTCTCCTAGAAGTCATGGAGTCATACGTTTTAAATTGCTGACTTACATAGCTGGTGAATGACACTGGGTTGTTGGAAAAGTCGTGACGCATTTGTGCATGGAAAAACGTAGAAAAAATAGGTCAGGACTTTTCCGACAGCCCAATATTTCAATAAAGCTGCTTTAGAAATGCAGGCTGCGTATGGATGCATACAACATTGTTGTTTCTATAAAAACACTGAGCTCTGCCAACAATCCTCTTGTTTAGGAACACACACAAATGTAGCAAAGGCATAGAGACCAGACGTGCATGTGAATAGTACTTGCTGAAAACACATCAGGATGGTACTTACAGTCCAGGAGGAGTGGTTAGCGCACGAGGAGGGCACTGGCTACTTGAACTGCATTTGTAACATTTATTTATTTTTTTTAATTGTCAGAGGGTATATGAGCTTGCCAAAGACAGAGACAGGAGGGAAAGATAAAAAGAGAGAGAGAGAGAGGACGAGAACTCCACAATCCCTCCTCCATTTCTCCATGCCATTGGGATCCTGGGCATGTGCGCGTGTGTGCGCATGCACATGCACAAACACACACACACACACACACACACACACCTGGCGTGCTTTTCAAGCTGCCAGAGACAGGCTTTGAGCTGGTTATGGGATCCAGTTCCCTTAACCACTAGGTACAAAGCTGACTTGAGCATTTAAATCTCACAGCTCGATCTTCTTTGTTAAAACATTCCAGACATTCCCTGGTGTTTCTGAAGCTGGTCACGAGTGTTTGATACAGTGAAGACAGAGACTGGCTCCAGGGGACCCTGCCTGGGGGGGTGAGCCGAGGGTTGTACTGCGGGAAGCTGGTCCTCCTAGGTTTCCCATACTCAGTAAACACTTCCTGAATGGAATTCATCCATGTCCGATCTCTAGGACCACTCCAAAGCATCCTTTCCCCTGGCTGGTGTCTACAGCAAATAGCCTGAGCTTTGCAGCCCTGATTTGAATACTCCTCGTGAGTACCATGGCCTCTTGCAAATTACTCGACGTCTCTGAGCTTTACTTTCCCATCTGCCATATGGGAATAATACTACCTACCTCTCAAAACTGGTGAGACTGAATGCAAAAGCTCTCACAGGTCCCTGGCTTCCCGTCTCTGTCGATGAGACGTGCATGCACTTCATTGCTCCTTCCTAAGTGTGCTGGGAGATCCAGGTTGTGCTGGCTCCCACATGCCTTGGGGATCAAGTATGATCAGCCATCAATCCATACTCGCTAAGTAGAACTGCCTTTAAGAGCCCAAACTTCCTCTCTCCCCTTTTCTATTTTGAAAAGCAAAGGGAACAAAAGGCCTCTGAAGAGAGCGCCCTTCACTACTTTGAAATAAGAAACACAGAAATACATAAATAAGCTGGCTCTGTCATTCCCCACGGATCGTTTTTGTAATCCCAGC